TTCTTCTTCTTCTTCTTCTTCTTCTTCTTCTTCTTCTTCTTCTTCTTCTTCTTCTTCTTCTTCTTCTTCTTCTTCTTCTTCTTCTTCTTCTTCTTTCTCTTGGTTTGTTTTCTTTTCGTATATTTAGGGTGGTTGGGCTCCTTTTGGAGCTTCTCCCAAAAGAGGGGACCTCGGCCCCCGACGCTCTGTTTGTCTCGCTGTCGGTAGTGCTAGGGCAGCTTTCTTTTACATGCCGTGGGGGTTTCGGGTTGTCGAGAGGAAAAGCGGCATTGAGGGCGATGGCGAGAACTCGCTGGGCGACGACGGGGGGTTGGCACGCGGGCAGGCACGCTGGATGGGTCAAGATCGGGCACGGATAACGGGGACGTTGCTAAGGGACGGGGAGTTTTCTCGTTGGCGTTGACGGGGTATGGGTTTCGAGCCTTTGGGAAAATCGTGGACTGTCGGTATGGCACAGTTGCGGAGGGGATGACGCGGTTTGCAGCTGCAGTGTCGAGTTGGGAAGCACCATTCAGGTGTGGTTGACCGTTTCGTTCGGGGTCGGGGTCGGGGTCGGGGTTGGGAACAAGCAACAAGCAAAGCAAAAAGCAAAAAGTCCCCTATCCTTGTCGGCATCGGCAGGGTTGGCAGCCACCCACCGGGAGCCACAAGCCACCGAACCCTTGAACGACAACCACGCAGTCCCCACCCCGAGTGGCTGATGATCTTTGCGATAACAAAGTCATGGCCACAACTTCTATGAATCGCAACAAGTACCTATTCCAGAGACATCGACATCTCTCGCTTCATCTTCTCTTCATCCCTCTCGTTAGCTGCCATGTTTATGATGATGTAAGAAACGCAGATTTAACCCAAACCTTTCTTCGAATTCTTGATAGCTGCCTTTTAGGGAACAGTGATGGCTACGGTCCGTCACTGTTTAATCCGGCATGGAAGCACGGCGATCCGTGTAGCCTGGAACACGTGGGAGCATGTGGGGTTGAATTGAATTTCCCAGCAATCAGAATATCAACCAGACAAACTGCGATTGTGGGCTTTTGGGTTGTCGAGAGCGAAGAGAGCGAAGAGAGCGAAGGTTTAGGAATTCGATGAAGATATCAAATCGGATATGTTGAGTTGTTTAGACAGCATATATGGATGGTGAACCGCGAAGAGCTGGTACATACGGGGTATAGAGCTCATTACATGTGATGCATTATAAGATGAGAGTTTTGGTGGCTCAGTTCAAGGGTGATGGCGGTTTAAACGCCGACCCAAAGGAAGGGGGTTTTTCCGTTTGCCGGTGCCGTTTCAGTGCACGTGCCATGTTGGGGGAATTTAGCCGGCTTATCACCCCTTCGGTGTACAAAGTACAACGTACAGAAGACGCCAGAGGTCACAGTGACAGAGTACCTATCTACCTTACCTACCTATATGACATGGGATTATGTGGGAGAAGCTTGGCCTTTTTCATGGAAACATCCGAGTGCAAGTTCCGTCAACGTCTAGGTTCTAGCCAGAACCAAACCCAATACTTCGAACTAATCAAGTAACCTATGGAGCTAAGTCTAGGTATTTGACGACACAAAAGGAAAAAAGAAACAAGTTTGTTTATCTTGAGTATCTGTACTGTTCTGTTGATCGCCAAGGTAACAAGGGGTGACTGACAACTGATATTGGTGGTCTTTGGGAATATATCTACTTATTGAAAGTTGAGAGGCACGCGTCAACGAGGCGAAACTAATAATTATGCTACTCCGTTCATCTGACTACTCACTCCTCACTACTTACTGCATGTAGGTATATCCAAGAAAAGAACCCACCGCGCAGGTTTCAAACCTCAAAACGAAGTGCCGGAGACTGGGTAACAGCCGCTATCGCTTAGGTTCCCCATAGAAAGGAACTCCCGGTTTATAAAACTTCACTACCAGGGACGGCTGCTTGTCCCTCGACCAGCGACTGGACCGCTACAAGCATCACAAAGCGAATGCGAGAACTAGTGTAAAAACGTCCGATCCCCATACCTAAGGTAGCCATATCCGTAGCATATGATCACAGTGATCACAACCGGCAAAATGACGCGGGTCCAGGGGTCCCCACGGGCCGGTGACTATCGACTTTCAAGGACGTTTTGACCGGGGGTTTTGACCGGGGGTTTCTCGGAGCGGATCGAAGGAAAAGGTCACAAACACGGGACGTGATTGGCGCGGGAGACGGTGGTGGGCGTCGGCCTGACAGTGGCCGAGTGGCTTCCCACCCATCCAACCGTTTACTTCGATTTGGGAAGCGGACCCCACCGCAACCCCCATATGAGCTTTCCGGCCGTCGTACTGGCGTCTTACAGGCTATCCAACCAGTGGGCAGACGAACCGGAACCGCAAAAAGCAACAACGAAAAATAAGAACGAAAAGAAAGAAAGTGAACCCGTCCATTGGGGTCAGTAATACATACTTCGCTATGTGGGGTCTTCCCTTTTCCGAAGAATGATCCCGACGGTGGGGGGGGAAGGGAAGAGGAGAAAGAAAAAGAATGCCATCTTCGCAATAATATAATATGGTCATAGCCGCATCTAATTACCCCTCGAAAAGGATACTAATAAACACCCTCTCCTTATTATATATCCCTTTACCGTCGACTGATTGCTTTGTCAAGCCTGTCAAGGTTATTAACTGCGTCGAACTCGTGTTGCCGTCGCAGGCGCAGTCGCAGCCGTCACTTTTCCATTCTTCGTATTTCAACTCCCCCGCCCGCCTGCTGCCGATCACCGTTGCGAAAAACATCCCCTCCCCTCCATCTCTTTACGATTCGCTATCCAAAGTCGGGACGTGCTTTGTCATAGTTATTTCGCCAAAAATCGTCATACATTCTAATCTGCGTCGCGGGGGCATTCAAAAGGGGGACAGGAAAAGAAAAAGAAGCAAGGGTCAAGAAGGAAGAAAGGGGGACAAAAAAAAAGAAAAGAAAAAAAAAAGGGATTAATTCTCCGGCATTGCTGCTCTGCTAGCTAGCTGCTCATCATGGCCGCGCCGGATATCACAAACGGAGCCAAGAGCGACCACCCCGTCAACGGCTCCGCGAAGCCCTCCAAGGCCAACATCGGCGTCTTCACTAACCCCAAGCATGACCTGTGGATCAACGAGGCCGAGCCTACCTTGGAGCAGGTGCAGTCTGGCGAGTCGCTCAAGGAGGGCGAGGTGGCTGTAGCTGTCCGAAGCACCGGTATCTGCGGGTATGTCTTGTGTCTTTGCTAATCACTTTTTCCCCTTTGTATTTACTTTTACTCCTTTTCTGTCTCTGTTTCTGTTGCTTTCCTCTCTCTCTTTTTTATTTATTTATTTATTTTTAAAAAAAGAAGGAAATCGCGAGAAAGACAAACTAACCACTTCCTCCCCAGCTCCGACATCCACTTCTGGAGCCATGGCTGCATCGGCCCCATGGTCGTCGACGGCGACCACATCCTCGGCCACGAGTCGGCCGGCGAGGTCATTGCCGTGCACCCGAGCGTCGACCACCTCAAAGTCGGCGACCGCGTGGCCATCGAGCCCAACGTCATCTGCAACGCCTGCGAACCCTGCCTGACCGGCCGCTACAACGGCTGCGAGCGCGTCCAGTTCCTCTCCACCCCGCCCGTCCCGGGCCTCCTGCGCCGCTACGTCAACCACCCGGCCGTGTGGTGCCACAAGATCGGGTCCATGTCCTACGAGGACGGCGCCCTGCTCGAGCCCCTGAGCGTGGCCCTCGCCGGCATGCAGCGCGCCGACGTGCGCCTCGGCGACCCGGTCCTGATCTGCGGCGCCGGGCCCATCGGCCTCATCACCCTGCTCTGCTGCCGCGCCGCCGGCGCCTGCCCGCTCGTCATCACCGACATCGACGACGGCCGCCTCGCCTTCGCCAAGGAGCTCTGCCCCTCCGTCGTCACCCACAAGGTCGAGCGCCGGTCCGCCGAGGACGAGGCCGCCGCCATCGTGAGGGACGCCTTCGGCGGCGTCGAGCCCGCCGTCGCCCTCGAGTGCACCGGCGTCGAGAGCAGCATCGCCGCCGCCATCTGGGCCGCCAAGTTCGGCGGTAAAGTCTTCATCATCGGCGTCGGCCGGAACGAGATCAACATCCCCTTCATGCGCGCCAGCGTCCGCGAGGTCGATATCCAGCTGCAGTACCGGTACTGCAACACCTGGCCCCGCGCCATCCGTCTGGTCGAGAGCGGCGTCGTCGATCTCAGCAAGCTCGTCACCCACCGCTTCAAGCTCGAAGACGCCCTGAAGGCCTTTGAAACCGCCAAGGACCCCAAGACTGGTGCCATCAAGGTTCAGATTCAAAGTTTGGATTGAGGAGGATCGGAGGCGAGAGGATGCGGATAAGGGGACAGGGCATTTCTCCTCTTATTTCTTCTTTTTTTTTCTTTTCTTTTCTTTCTTGCCATGTTATTACGTCTTGTAGAGCCTAACTTTTACCAATGGCTCGTCATGATTTAACGGCTTTCTGGATATAAATACATACCTCCATGCGTATAGCGGCGTGTGACTGTTGTACTATACAATGATGCATCTGTATTCTGTAGCTCCACTGGGATCTTGAAGGCGTCAAAGCTTCGGTGAAACAAATTGAAATACAGGTACTTTACCTAAAGCCGAGGTCAAACCCAGTCTCATGGATTACTTAAGCAGATCGCTTTATCGTTACAAAGTGGCACCAATTGACTCTCCCTCATTGGCCATTCCCAAATCAGTTTAGCGCGGCCTTCTCTCTCTCCGGCCGGGCTCGCGAAATCTTCCGAGCCTCTTTTTTTTCACATCACCTCACTTCATCACTTCGACAACCCAACACACTCTTTTCCCGCCTCAATACCCGTCCATTGGCTGCCACCGACTACTCCATCCCGCATCTCGGAGCCCCCGACCTCTACCTCCCACCGAACCATTCCGAGTAGACCCGGCCGGCTTCCAAAGCCACCACCCACCACCCATCAAACACCAAACACCAAACAAACACAACCATGTCCGCCGTCATCGCCCGTCCGTTGATGCGGACCTCCTTCAGGACCGCTCGCGTCTCCGCCCGATCCGCCGCCCGCTTCGAATCGACCAGCGCCCAGAAGGCGACAGAGGCCGCCAAGGAGACCGCCACCAAGGCGTCGCAGGGCCTCAGCCGCGTCACCAGCTCTGCCGGCCCTGCCATCGTTGGCGCTGCCAAGGGTGTCGCCGGCGCCTTGAACAAGGTCGGCGGCCGGACCGGCAAGGTCATTCGCTTTGTTGAGAGTATGTCCGCTTTGCAATTGATCGGCGAATCTTGTCTCGCGACTCCCCCGTTCCCGCAGTCTCCCTGGGCGCAGGAACAAAAAAAGATGATGGGGGAGGAGTATTTGGAAAGCGGGCCTCGAGTTGAAAGACGGAAATACTGACGGTAACGAATGAATTGCAGAGGACATCCCCTTCGTCGTCTACTACGCCAAGGTCGCCCTCGAAGTATCCAAGATTGTCGTCCGCAACCAGAAGATGACTCCTCCGTAAGTTGCTCATCCCTTGCGCGGCCCTTCGAGAGCAATCGTCCCTCGGGCGAAAAATGACCTTCCGAAAAAAAAGGCTAATCAGACCCGTCTTTCTTCAACCCCCGTCGGACGGAAAAAAAGATCAATCGAGACCTTCCAGGCTTACTTCCAAAAGGCCCTCCAATCCGCCAAGAACCCCGGCGCCCTCCTGGCCTCCGCCTCCCAGACGGCCAGCTCCGCCGCCTCCCGGCCCGGCACCGCCGCCCAGCGCCTCCGCGGCCTCGACAGGGCCGCCATCCTCGCCGGCGGCGTCGTCCTGGCCGAGTGCCTCGGCTTCTTCACCATCGGCGAGATGATCGGCCGCTTCAAGATCGTCGGCTACCACGGCGAGGCCCCTGCTGCTGCCGCCCACCACTAAATGTTTTCCTTTCCTCTTCGCAACCTGAACATAACAAGCAAGAAACGTGTCTCTGCAACCGGGGACGTGGCAAGGGAGAGAGAGAAAGGTTGAAACAAACGGGTTTCGATGTTTGATGACGGCGCCTTCCTGTTTTCTCTTTCTCTTCGACAAGGATCAGCAAAACCTTATAGACAAAGATTAACCTCGGGATCGAGGTTAGGGGAATAAATCTCGGCATTACGCGCGTCATTGTGGGGAGGTTGGAAGAACGTCAGAGTCTCTGTCCCTTGCTTGATCGCAAAGAGGGCGGAAACGAATCACTCGGGGCCGAGAACCAGCCATGAGGGGAAGTCCGGGGAGCGGAGGCCGAGTTTGGTCTGGTGGTGTCCTACCAGTCTATGGCCTCCTCGCTTGCGCTGTATCTTCTCGCATCATCTTATTATTTTTTTCTTTTCTTTTGTAAACTCTGTACATCAGCACCATGCCCTGCGGTTCTGCTGCGGGATCTCCCTGCCTTGTGTAGGATCAATTGACCAAGGAATTTCCCCCATAGTCTCTCCATCTTCCCCGATTTTTTGCAACCAAGTCTTGGCTGAACTGATAACATAGAATTCCACATAACGGAGGACAAAGCCCGAAGCCTGGCGGTTCTTTCGCATCGCAGCAGTTTCGTCGTCATCCCGACTGATGGCCTCGACGAGTGCGAGACTCTGGGAGCAGACACGTCAGGGGCACAACAAAAAAGAAAAACAAAACAAAAACAAAACGCCGCAGTCCCGCATACGATAGGCAAAGCAAGTGGACTAGAACAGCCGGGCTGAAAACGCGGTTTGTTCTGTTTTGTTATCAAAGCGCTGTTGGAAAGAAGAAGAAGAAGAAGACGGCAACACCAACACGACACATTCACGCCACGCCACGCACAAGTGCCACCCCCTTGGCCGCACACGCTGCGACCTACCCCATACAGCAGAACGAGCAACCCTACGTACGGCCTTGCATTGTCCCACAATAAAATGAAAAAGAAATAGAGAGAGATCGCGCGGGGGACGATAACGTTGATCTCACGGAAGTTTTACGAATAACAACTCACACCCCAAGAAACAATCCTCCCCGGGCCATATGATCCCCCCCTGTGCCTAACCTTCACAAATAGTGGGTGGCCTCGAGGCCTAAAGAAGAAGAGCATGGCAACCCGACGACAACCATCTCGTCGAATCTGCCCGGCCAACGCACCGCGCAGTAATCCCAGGCCGCTAGCGATGTGAATCACAGAAGAGGAGGAGGACATTACTCTCGAGGTCATCCATCTCAGGCAGGCATGTTGACGTGGTCACCACCCCTTTTCCCTCGCGTCCCCTCGTTCCCTCGTCCCGAGGCCGACCTTCCCCCAAGAACGTTGGCGCCAACTCTCTCAGAAGAACGCAAAGGGGAAGTGCGCGCAAAAAAAAAAAAAACCCCCCAGTCTTCCATCTGGTTAACCTGCTCTCAAATCCCTGCCCCTTGTTCATGTCCCGGCTGCAATGCCACCTGTTCTTGCAGCTGGGATCTGAGTTTGGAGAATACGTGGAGGAACGAGTTCTATCCAGCTGTCGCACCTCCTCCTAGGACAGAACAACTCAAATTGCGGGGTGAGGAGGGGGGGAAGAGGCGGCTGTTGTTCACAAACCCTTATCGACGGGTGGTCTTTTGAAGTTCGAACAAGACCCGACTCGATCAACGCTGCTCTCGCCTTTGCTTCTCCCATTTTATCTACTCACTCGCTCGATCGAGGCCTGTCCGAGAACTATGCTTACTTCCACCCTTACTGGTGAAATAAACACCATGGGCAAGATTCGGGAAAAAGTTCAACAAGCCCGCTGATGAACCCCGAGGACACCAGTCCTGTGCCAAGAGACTAGACAAGCAGTAGCCATTATGCATGCCGTATGAGTTGCATCCAAAGACAAGAAGGGTTAATGTCGCGGGAAAAGCTCCGCGGAAAAGGCGGTGACTTGGGCCCAGAAAAGATAAAAAAAAAAGAAAAAGAAAAAACCAAAGGGCGGGGAGCGAGCAGGGAAAATGCTAAGAGCGCGCTTGGGGGAGCGGAGACACGGCATAGGGCGCGCGGCGATGCCCCACGAGAGCCGGACAGACATGGGAGGTCCCATGATCGACTGGCCCCGGGGCTGGCCGCAGCGTGGGTTCTTTCGTGCGCGGAGTGGGATGGATGCGGAAGAGGAAGGCAGAGGCGAGGGGCGCCCCGATGGCGACTACCGAACCATCTGAGATGCATATTATATACGGGCTATCCCTTAGAGAGGACTCATACCTGCCCTTTGAGTCGCTGCCTTTTCCTTTTGCAGGGTTGATACCTGACGCAGGCGATCAGGGAAGGACGCTGATAGAAGTTCTCAAAGAGGACAGGAACATAGGGGTCTGTTGCAGACTTGGGGGGTGACGGACGGTGACCGAGGTTCGGTGACTGGGCGCCTAAGCCAGAGCAGGCCACTCGTCTTGCTATATTGAGTGGAGGTCGAAACGAAAAGACGGCACAGAGAGGCATGCAATGCCTTCTTGGGGAGGGGCGTCGTCCGGACGGTCGTCTTTTGGGCCACCGCTGGTCGCTTCAAATGCTATAAAAGCAAACAGACGTCCCGGCCATCTACCCGGCCCAACTCGAAACACTGAAGAACCGATCAGTGCATGCGAATAAGGGCGAAGGCCTAGGGTGTGATGAATGAAGGATAAAGCAAACAGCTGCACGGTTTCACAGTCGCGCATCTCAACAAACATCCCCGCCGATTCACCGTCGGAGAAACTGTGGGCGATGTGCGAGTATCATGTTGCGCCACTTGGCTCGACTGGGGGAATGCGATCAGGTCCGGAGTGCCGAGCCGATTGCTAATGCTAGACTACCTTCGTTACCTCTAGTTAACATGGAATCAGCACAAACTCACACCAACCCCGGGATAGGCGCCCCAGCCAATAAGGACGAGGGAAATCTAAGAAATCTACTGGACATCACGAGTTGTTCGGTTGCGTCTTGGGCCGGACATCGGCGGCCGAGTGGGGGCCGCGCAGTCTCAAGAGCCGCGGTTCCTGGGATTCACCATTCCGACGTCGCGCGAAACCAAGACCAAACCATTCGAGAAGGGCAAGAGCAAAGTCCTAGCTCGAAAGGAAAGGAAAAGAGTGGCGGGAATAACAAGTTAAACCGCAGAGGTGATTATCATGTTGTAGAGAAGGGGCAGAACAGTGTGGATTGGCCCTTTGCCAGCCAGGAGCTTGTGCGAGATACGACTCGTTGATCGTGCATTCTGCATTCCCTAACATATCCCTTGTCCTTCCATCCGTCTCATCCTTGTCAGACACGACCATGCTCCATATCCTCGTCGCCCCCCCCCCAAGGGCTAAAACTGAACTGGCTGGTATAATATGACCGCTCCGGTCGCTGATTTGGACGTGCGAACAGCCGTTATGGGGCTGTGGAGGAATGATGAGAGAGACAAGAAAATCGGCAATAATGCAGCGGTTGGTCAATGGTAGCAGCGATGACGACTGTGGTAACGGTAGAACACAATTTGCTAGCATAAACCAATCAATTCGTGCTAGTTTCCGAGGAATCCAGAGCATCATGATGCGCTTCAAATGGACTGTTCCCTAGCTCTAACCGGGGGGAGATGGGCTTCGCGGCGAACGGGTGCCGGCAGCCGTCCATCAACACACGAGACTCGCTAAGAAGGGAGGGGGAGCAAGACTGAAAATTCTGTGGGGAAGAAAGCTCGTAGCACGTCGAGATGGAGGGGGGAATATAGGTAGTGTCGCATCGGGTGCAGGGTGAATTTCACGCGTTATCTCCCGCATCATTGGCTAGGTTTTCTCGCCGTCCAGATATATCTAGGGGGCGCACGAATCAGCAGCCACGCTCTCAACGTGCAGCTCGGATGAGAGGGAACTCAGAAGGTACTCACAGTCTGCAATAGGCATGCGTTCTGAGATCGCAGAGTTTTCGCTTGACCTCGGCGGATAGTGAGAAGACCTTGTCCGCGGGCCAACGTTCCACCCTCGTCAAAGGTGCTAGGCTTAGCGCATCGATCGAATGAGTGAGGGCAAGGTTGAACCAGCGGCCAAGTTCGCGCTGTCGTCGCTCGTGGGTCCAGGGGTTGATGGGTAGCTGTATGATGGTCTCGGTAACGTCCGTGAAGCCTATGGCTCGAAGCTCGCTTTTCGTCCGCTCGTTGACATCCAGAGGTACCCCGGCCGTTCTCATAGCGCGGTGCAGAGCGTCGCTCCAGGTAACAAGACACGAGTCTGGACTCAGACTGTTATCGTCCGTCCGAAACTGCCATTCCACCTCGATATGCTCGAGGAAACCCCCCGGTCGGATGTGCCTGTATGCGAGTTAGAGGTTGGGGTCTACTCGAACGGGGGAAGAAAGAAAAAAAAAATAGGGACAAAAAAAAAAAGGGAAAGAAAGGAAAAGCGGGGAAATGTTCTTGCCTGTAACACTTCCTGTATAGATCGGTCCAATCCCTGATGGAACCAAGCAGCATCTGAATGTGAATCAAATCGTAATCCATCTCATGCACGGGCCAGGGCTCTTCAATGTCGGCTTGCATAAACGAGACGGAGGACGGAACACTGGACAGTCAGGTTATTCGATGAGCACATTGTCGTACAAGCAAAATAACAAATGCGAGGCAAGGGCAGAACAATTCGCATTCCCAAACTTACTCGGGTGGTTGGATAAAGGACAGGTCGAGACCGTGGACGAGGCCATGGTTGTTCGGGCCCTTCCAGAGACGACTGTGTCCAAAACCATTAGCTGCCACTGTTTTTCGGCACTCGTCAGAAGGCTTAGGAGTCTTACTCGGAAACATCAATGGCCCATATGCCCGTGCCCGTGCCGAGGTCGAGCACCCGGGCACGTTCCGGTAGAGGGGCGTCCCAGTAGCGGTTGTTGCGCGCCAGAGTCAAGAGCTTGTGGAACATATCCAGCCTGTCTTTTTCTTCCTGTCTCACACGTAAAGGTTTGAGCGTGGGCTCACATCAGGGGCTGTCGCGTGGAGTACCCACCTCATCGATAGGAAACATGTACCGGCCGCGACGGTAGGAGCCATAGGAACGGCTATTTTCCATGTAGCTGCTGACTGATGTGCCAGGGGTTCCGCTAAACGAAAAAGAAAAGAAAAAGAGGAAAAATCCGTCAGTGATTTGTGGCTTGAGAAACGCGCGGGGCATCGTCGTGATCAGGATATCCCAAAGCCTACCCGTTAAGAGACATGCTTGCCAAGAGACGGTATGGGGCAGAAGAAACCGTGGCGTTTGCAGTGGATCCAGGTCAACTCCTTGAAGGTCAAAGCCAGAGTCTCCGTTGAAGCTGGGAAACCGACGTGGATCAATCAAGAAACCGATGAGCGTCGGTTGCTAAAACGGCACGGATCAGTCCTTCGGTCTGAGTGGTCCGGCTAGACAAGCAAATTGGGCCAGAGGTTGGGCGCAAGATCGGCGAGAGCGGTACTAGGCAGGCTGCAGATTGCCGCTGACGAGGTGGGAGATAAGGTGAAAGGAAATATGCTTTCAGTCTGTCGCGATTAGTATCGTGTGGACTGACAGGGTGAATGCAGATAGGTCAAGAATAAGGCCTCCGAAGGGTCAAATAAAAAGAGCCAGTGGAAAGGTGGGTAAGCAAGGCACAATGCAGGACGTAGGAGCTGCACGGAGAAATTGTGGCAGGTCGAATAAAAAGAAAGGGCAATAGGGCCATGGGTGGTAAGTCTCGGCGAAATGTTCTCTCGATATAGACCAGGGGGAAAAGAAGTTTAAAAAAAAGGATCCTCTCGATAGCGTAGGGCTCGTGGGAGTCGAGGATATATATATGCAGATTAGGAGCATAGAAAGAAAAGGGATGAGAAAGGGCGCAGAGATGGGCAGAATGTAACGATCAACCAACAAGCATAACATGAGGAAGCAAGGTTGGCGTATAATGTTGACGGCCGGCCGACTTGGATGAGTGATGCCAGCGACTCGACATGAGAAGTCACTCGACTTGTTGGCTGTTGTGGTTGCTGTTGTTGTTATGCCAAAGACAACACTTCCACCCTTCATGCTTCCTCGCAGGTTTCTTCCCTGCTTAAGGCAACCAGTTCTATTCTGTGCCATGTACCGACCAAACTCTCACAGGTAGGTACACGAGATGAGCAAAGCATCTGGTTCCCGCCTGTTGCGCCGGTGTAGTGTGGGACAAGACACGACACGTCGCCGAAACGAGGAGGCCCTAATGCGACCAGAAGAATAGCGAGGATCACCAAAACGGCCAACAGTCCAGCGGGCTTGAGGACGTGGCAGGCACCTGTGAAAAACAAGATTGTTTGCCTCCTTTCGAGGGCAGAGCTGGCGTGCAGGGAACAGGACACGAATCTGGGTAGATGGAAAGGCGGATAGACGGAGGGAGGAGGCAAAAGCAGGAAGAGAAGAGAAAGTGCGTGACGTGACGAGACGAGACGAGACGAGACGTTGTTGGCCCGAAATCCGAGCAAGTGCATGCGGGTGTGCGAACTCGCGCGTGTGGGATGTGCATGCATGCGCGGTGGTCCGGTCCTTGACGGTAGAGAAGCGGACGGGGCGCCACCTGATCGGCTTATGGCCTCGACCTCGGTGCCGGTGGTTGTGGTTGTGGTTCTGGTTGTGCCGCCCAGTCGCAGCCATATTGCGGCGAAAAGCGGACAATGATAGGGACGGTGGGAGGTATGAAATGGGCAACACAGGAAGGGCTGTCCAAAGCGAGGAGAGAAGACTAGATGATGCACAACAAGCAGAGGGACTCGAGTGCGGACCCCCACCCAAATTGGGGAAAAGAAGGAGAAAGCTAAAATGACGTACCTTCTGGGGAAAGACCGTTGCCTTCGCGCTTCTCGCCGAAGACTGTGTTTGAGCCGCTTGCTGGGTAGGTTCTGGCCGCTTCACGGCCGCTCTCGTTGGCCGAGTCGGGAGCGTCACACAAAAGCGGGCGAGAGAGATATGGCAGGAGTCCAAGTCTCTTAGAGGAGAAGGTGACAATGCCGGTCACGCGTTCTTGGCTCGTTTATGTGAGGGGACGTTAACGGCGTGTACTAGTTTGGAGACGACCCTGACGACGGCGTGGTAGCGGTTAAGAAAAAGGGGAAGTTGGGGGGGATGCGAGCGGTGTGCAGCGTTGCAAAATTCGACGAGAGCGCTTGGTGAGAAGACAAGACCGTAAGAACGAAGAAAACTGGCCCGGCCCGATGCGACAGCGGACACTCCCGTCGGCAGTGAGGAATGGTGGGATGGGACGCCGCAACAAAGTTGAAGAGACAAGGGGGTGGTGCTCAACAACTGGCGATACGGTGCGCGCGGGGGGGGGGCGATCAACCGAAAAGCGGTGCGTAAAAAAACAAAAAAAAACCAAAGACGACTCGAGGACTCGTGGGATGGGGTCGCTGGAATGGAGATGTGGTTTTTTCTTCTTCTTGCCTCCTTTTCCTCTCCCCCCTAGGCAATTCTGCTCTGCCCCTCCTTCCCAATTCCTCTTTGCTGGTTTCGGGCTTTTCGGTTGCTGATATTGGGCGGTGGATGTGGGAGATGCAGCTGGGGAGGAATGTAAGGTACGTGGTTGGCGGAAGGACCGACAAGGTGGATTGCGGGTAGACACAAGTCCACTTGGATGCTAGTTTGACGAATCCAAATGGCAGATAATGCGACTTCTGCGTGACTGCTCGCTGTTCCGGGCGGAATTCCGAAAAGGAGTCGTGCCGGAATAGGACGTGACCAACCAAACTGACATCCCCAGTGTTGTCTTGACTGGCGAGATTGTGTGGTGATAAAACTGACTCGGCCAAACGGGAAGGGGGAAAAATGGGGTTGGCGCGAGCCGGTGTGCTTCCCGTCCCGGTCCTATCCTGGTTCAAGGGGAAATCTGCGACGTAACGAAGCAATACAAATAGGCCTTGAAGGAGCCGCCTTTGACTGGGACCGAATTGGCCTCACATCCCTCTTACTCACAGCCCGGGGATTGGTCGTATTAAATAAAGCATATATACTAAGACCGCCAGGAGCAGCCCGACCGACGAAGAACTACCAAGGTAAGGTATAATTACAACGTTAGTACCATCAGCTCGACACGGGACACGACGGGACTGGAGCCCTCCCCCCCCCCTCCCAAAGATTAATGCCGTGCTCCATATACTACCTTACCTAGTACGAAGTACAGATACTCCGTCATCAGTACTCTGTACCCAGTCCCACTTCTAACGTAGGGACTTCTGCTGGTGTGTTCGGTGTCTGAAGGCCGTGTGGCCCCCAAATCTTGTCTTGTTTCGTCTTCGACCGGCCGGGTCGTCTGTCCCTGGTCAATTGTCGCGGCAATGTTCCCTCGATTGCGACTTGGGCATGGTAGTTCGTCATGCCGTGTTTGGATGAAGGTATCGCACAGGCCCGTAGAGCTGGGATCATGGTTTCTGGCTGGCCTACCGGCCCGGGAGCGGGGTGGGGAGAGGGAGAAGGGCTCAGCGATGGTGGTGCCTGAACAAGCACAGCTGCGCTAGGTAATATTCGTACTCCGTAGAACATGCACAAACAGCAGACGTCTGATCTGTAATTACTCAAGTACCTCAAACATTCTAAGGTATCCTTTCGGCTCGATTCATGCACCATCCACGACGCTCGTTCAAGCGCTATTCTCCGATATTCTCCGATGCTATGGGCGGTACTCGAAGAAGAAAAGAACACAGAGGAAGCGGAAGAGAAAAAAAAATAGGAAATGGGAGGACGCGAGAGAGTGGATAAGCTTGTGATGGCAGTACGGGATACTTCATACGTAAGGTATGGCCCTACAACAATGCAATGTCCGTCATCTCACATTCACGCCTTTGATGACACGACCATCTACACAATCTGGAAAAGGGGAGAAAATTAATTTACAGAAAGGAGGGATCACTGCCTTGGACATGTACGAAGTAATTACGAAGTATCCACGCCGTGGGATTCGGAAGTGGGGAAGTGGGTCTTGAGGGTCTGGAGGTGGTGCACCTGCGCCCTGTGATTAGCGTGTCCACTATCCTGGTCCTTCACCCCACCAGCAAGATGTCGGCTTGGCAGGGAAGTTCCTTCTTCGTCAGCTTCCTAAGACGCTCTAGAGGTAGAGGTAGGTAAGAAGGACAGAGTAGGAGCGGTGGAGGGTGACGAAGAAGTCTCCTTCTGATACTGAGTATGAATTGGGAGCACGGGGTAGGCACACCAGCGTCTACCCAGGGAGGTACCTGCCCTCTTTTCCTCGCACATACGAGCATGAAGTTCTTATTACCTTACCTACCTACCTTAAGTACCATAGTCCCTTACTGTCTTGGTAATTAAGGTACCTAGGTAGTTCCTTCCCTGCCTAAGGTACTTTCTGGTAGAGGGAGAGTGATGTAGGGGTAGGAGCATCCCTGGCTCTTGGTGTGGGTTGTTAGAGTACCTTACCTTACTTGTCGCCGATACCATCGCCCATCCGGAGTCACTGCAATGGCCATCGCAATTAAGACGACGTTGTCGACTTCTTCGACCCCATTGTACACGTCACTGCAAAATGGCCATTCCGTCTCCTGTCATCCTTTGCTCCGAACCTTGTTCCCGACATACCCACTCCGTCGTATTGTCCGCATCTTCTCCATCTTTTTCTCGCTCTCGACATACATATTAGCACGCCTGGTAAGGTGACGGCGGACACACACCATCACGCAACATCCCGAAGAATCAGCCTCCGAAAAACGGCGTCCCAGCCACTCATGCCGGCCCAAGCCATGATAAGGTACGCAACGGCGTCGTCTTGGGCTTGATCCGGATACCTGGGTTCTTGACACCCCAACTTGGCGTAACTTTAGGTGCTGACCTGCCTCAAGTATCCGTAACTTCCACCAGTCCTGAGGACAGATGCATCTGGCAGCCTGGCTTAATTACGTCCCACATGACAGTGCATACAGTGCAGTACAGTGCAGTACATCATAAGGGTCCACGGCGGAGTAAAGACACATGCTAAGGTCTTGCTGCTGATGCGTGGACGCGGGGGCGCAGGGGATAAAACGATGGAACTCAGCAGGTTTCTTGAGTTGCAGTCGAGTGGCGTGGGTTAACCAATGACCAATGCAGGTACGTTGTACCTACATAGTCTCACCACGACATGCCGTGCACCCTCCCGACAAGACTGTCTGGTCCGCATGTCTCATCTACCCTGAACAGACCAAACCAGGACATGAGGATTCTGTTTCGAACGAAGCAGGGATCTCGGAACAGACCACGATCATACAACTTTGATTGTCTTTCCTGGTCTATTCCCTTCTTGTCCAGGTACGCTCCCTCTCCCCCATAAACATTCTGTCCTACACGTATTGTTTCCTTGGGCCTCCCCTTGTCGACCCGTCGTGTTCGTGTACATTCGTACCAAGGGTACCCAGGAGCCTACCTTATCCTGATACGTTCAATGAGGCACCAATCAATGGCTTTGTCTCGGAACACGCGCTTCTTCTACCGGTCGATTTCCATGGCACTGGAACCAGGATTCCGAAGCGAGGGTGGTACGGCATCTTGCATGCATTATGTATGCCTTGCCTTTATAGCCACATACGTACGGAGTAAGACTTTGCACACAACCGAATCGAGCAAAGAGCTGCTGTTGACGCATAGACCCTGGTCCTCGCCCCCCTGCACGAAGTAATCGATAGCTGCCTGCGTTGGTGTTCAAAAAACAGTCAAGCCCTGACGAGCATACTCTATACAAAGTCGAGACGCGGCAAGGTGCACAACAGCCTGCAGCCCGAACGCCTCCATACCTCAGCAAAGCCAAACAACCCCACATTTTCGGGCCATCAGCAAATTAACGCCCCATAGCGGGCTGGATGCACCAACCAACTGGTGATTCATATTTGCCGTTGTACAAGGTACTGATGCCCGGCGTGTCGCCAGAAGCAGGACTCCCCTCTGGTGAATGAAGGGATTCCATTACCTATCTCTTCGTTCCATGTCTTCCTTGTTCGGAACACCCGCTCATCCATTCATTCCCAGCCGCCCCCGGGCCTTCCGTGGTGGGTCGACCCGACGGACTGGAACGGGACCCAAATTCTACAGCCGTCCACCAACGGGAACCGAGGTTCCCTCGCCTAGACTTGGAAAGACTACGGGGATGAACCCTATCGACTGTCTAGGGCTGGATATGTACTGAACTTGGCGGTGAGCCAGCTCTTCAGCGTCGACGCGAGGGACACCAACTCGGAAGCTGCCTGTCATGCGAGATGGCTAGCTTTCCTCAAGAGAGAGCCTCCCCTAGGCCGATCGTGGTTTCATGGATAATCCCACCGACAGCGGCGACTCTGAGACGCAGCTGGCAGTTTTTATGCATCTGTGATTAAAATGAGCGACAAGCAGGAAGCCCGGAGGAACCGGGCTGAGCTGATCATTGTTCGGGACTGGACGAGCGGATGCCCCGTTTCGTGGAATAACCAACCCCCCAAGGGAGGCATCCGGCCATCGTACAACGTACTCAACGCAGTCTCGGAACCAGGGCCAGACCGAGGAGCCGACAAGGTATGAACCATTGCTTTTGTACTCGTATCCCTTTGAGACCAGTCAGACATCGAAATCCCGGGGGCAAGCATGTGGTTCCACCCATGCTGCACTCCGTGCAAGGATGGGTAAGATGGTACCAGACTGTCGGGTCTGACCCTCACATGAGCACAATTTGGTGGCGTTTACACAGGGCGACCTGGACCACAGCGACCACGGGCGGGTGGCTGAATCGAAAATGACTTTCATCATTCGCATTCGAACTCGGCGGGACTCAACCATGTCGTACGCACGAAGTACTTGTGGTCATGCTTCCGTCCGTCGGTGTTTTACCTTCCAAAAATATCCGTACGTGTGCCGTTGATGGGGCTTATCGTTTCCCGTGCGTCTCCTGTTGGCTAAAGAAACGGCATTTGCCGAGCCCGCTTACCCGCGCCAAGCACTGCGGTTCACCAGACAAGAAGACTTGTGATGATTGATGGATGGCATCCGCTACCATGCAGTCGGTAGCCTGTCCCAGCCAACCATCCTGAGGCGAATCGTTTGTACATGCAGGTGTTCGTTCGCACATCATGTCTCATGTCTCGTAAGCAGTGCGTGCCACCACCTCACCTCGCGAGGTTGCAGCTCAACTGACCATTGCCGCCTGAAGTCCATCTGACGACTGAAACCATAGAATTACCGCCTCAGCTTTTGAGTCTGGTCGTTGGCACGGAACAATCCCATTGTCGTCGTCTTCTTTTTCTTTTGTAAAATGCGGTGATAGGACGACGACAATGTCGTGACGCTAGGGGTAGGCGCCGTGGGATTCTTGGAATGGGCTCGGCGTGACGCCGGACGGCAATTGAATTTGGGGGCCATCTTCCCATCCAACAGGCTTCTTCATCCCTGCCTGCTCTGCCTCTGCTTCAACTTGAACAATCATTGATGCAATGGAGCGGGCAAAGCAATCTTCTGGCTGGCCACGGTACGAGGCGAGACGCTATGACAACATTTTTTTCTCTTTCTTTTTTTTTTCTCTCTCGTTTCGACCCCAAGCGCCAATACGCGACACGCGGTACGCGGTACGCTCTCTCATACACGTGTAGAACGGCGCTTGCGCGTGTGCCCAGACATCACAGCGGCAATTTGCAACTTCTACTTGGTAGACAACCGAAGCACGACAATCCGTGGATATCATCAGCGTCGCTCTCTGCCTAGGGCCACGAGAAAAAGTCCGAGTTTGGCTCAGCAGTCAGGCGTGTGCGGGAAGAAGCTGCTGTGAGCTGCGGACACCCCGAAACCTTGGGCACACGGAAAGATGCGGGAACAAAGCGAATCTAAGCGTTACCACGTTCAACTCCGATGCTGTTTTCTTTGTGACAGCTTCACGAATCGACCACGTAATCTCGCAGTGGCTCCCAGCTCTAGCCCTTCGTGCTGATGGTCTACATCGATGGTCTTGGTGTGCCTCGACAGGTACTACAGAAGAGAAGATGATATCGCTGTATACAGTCAGAATCTCGCACCACCATGCACCATACAGACCAAGGCGGTACAGCCAGAGAGCACGGCAAGTATAGTCCCTTGCGATACGGTCAAATTCCTATGGAAAAGTCTCGGGGAGTTTGGTTTCCGAGCATGCATATGCCTCGTGCATTCCACTCGGTCCTAGACACTTAACACGTAATGGTTTGGCATACGATCATTATGTGTGCACGCATATATCATCGCGGCCCATCTAGGGCACTTTGGGGACGTTCCAAACCCGGTTCTCGGTGCTTTCTATATGTCGCCTCTTATTGTACACCCAAGCCTTCGCTCTTTCATACAGTATCCACACCATCAAATCTTCCACCTTTGATGTTTTCGTGTCCCAACATCCATCTCTCTTAGTCTCTGACCAGCCCCTGAACTTGTGTTGGCACCAACGTGCCGGTGGCTGCCGGTGGCTGCCTACGCTGCGCTGCGCTGCCGTGCCTTGTCACGTAGGCCCAGCAAGAAACAACAACGACGACGACAACAGCAGCAACAACACAAACGGCTCGAGGAGGAGCGACGGGGTAGACGGACAAGGACCCCGGAGTCAAGAAGAGAAAAGAAAAAAAAAAAAAAACTTGGCATGGGGGTGGTGGTTGAGCGGGCTGATAGGGTGGGTTGGACAAGTCTGTAGCCTTTCACTTTCACTTTCCTTTCTCCGCGATTGCAAAACAAAACAAAACAAAACAAAACAATACGGGACATGCGCGTCTGCGTTTGGATTCGCGGGTCGGTGATGGGGGCGGCCAGCTCATCATTGTGGCAGGTCGGGTCGTCGTTCTCGAAACGGAAGTGGGAGGGGGGTTTGAAGAGACGGAGCGGGAGTTAAAGGGGATTTCTTTTTTATTTTACTTGGACAACACGGCTGGAGAAACCAAAGCGGTGTGTATCAGTTGGCGGGGCTCGACAAGGAAAGCAAAAAAAGATTCTGTTGTTTCGGGCCAGGAAAACGGCGGCCTAGTGCGTTTGGTCATCGTCTTCAAAAGAGTCGTAGTCGTGGACAGATTTCCAAAGGCGGTTTAGGCATTCCCTTCCCGCTGACGTGGCAAAGGTTGGGATTTTAGAGCATAGAGCTTCGCAAGAGCTGCCGCGCATCAAAAGACAATGCACGACAAGGACAAGGATCCCCTAGGCAAGAATAAGCGAGGGCACTGTGTTGCACATCAGCATGGCAAGAATAGTTTCTGATCTGTAGCCATCTATCGAGTTGCCTGCCTCGAGAGCGCGCCCTTCCGGTATCCCGTCCCATGCCGTCTCGTCCCGTCCTCGTGCCTCGAAAGGGAAGAAGAAATCCGCCCCCCCTAAACTCGCTCTAATATCCCAACGCCCCCCCCAACCTCTTCTTTTTTTCTCTTTTTTTCCCTTTCAGCCGGGCGGTACTATGCATGGGCCGCCGATGACGGTGATGCTGCAGCGGAAGGGGCGACAAGAAAGAAATCAATGAATAAAACGGTGTTGCGGCGAGGGGCAAAAACCCGTCGGACTTGCTCTTCGAATGTGGTCAAGGTCTGGGGTGTTCCCCCATTTCCCCCAGAGCGAGCGGGGTTGTCTCTGGGTTGCCAATCCAACCTCGAGTTGTCCGTTCATCTTACCACTCGTACTCGCCGGTGGCCTTGTGGAAGATGTATTCCTTTCCATTGACAGTAAGGACACCGTCCTTGAGGACACACTTCCACTTATTCTTGACGCGCTGGACCTTGTCATACATGCAGAGCATGATATGACCGAGGCCCTCGTCGTCCACCTCCTCGTCTTCCTTCTCGTCGTCCGAGTCGTCGAGGTCGGAGTTGATGGCGTCTTCGTCGGCGACGTCGTCATCGTCGTCGTCGTCACCATCGTAACGCGCCACCCCGGACTCCCCCGCCTCTCCGGACTCTCCGGACTGGGCGGGCACCGCCTTGCGCTTGCGCTTGCTCGCGGCCGTCCGGTGCCGCGTGGCTTCCTTTAGCGGGAGCATCAGGCCGCCGCCCTCCATGGCCTTGGCCTTGGACACGATCTGCGCGTGGATGAGGCGGTCGATATCGACACGGCCGAGCTCGTGCAGGGTGCCGGCGGCGTCGCGCTGCATCAGGACGCCCTGGACATGGTCGAAGCCGTCATCCTGGTCGGCCGGACCGTCCGTCTGCGCATTCCTGACGCCTGGCAGAGCGGGGCTGGCCGTTGAGGGTTGTTGTTGTTGTTGTTGTTGTTGTTGCGGTGGTTGCTGATATTGCTGCTGCGGCTGAGGCCTGCCCTGATTTTGCTGATTTTGCTGGTTTTGCTGGTTCTGCATCTGCGGAAGAGGCGGCTGGCCGGCGGGTCTCGGACCGGTTCCGGGCTGAGGGTTGATGGCGGCGCCTTTATCACCGAACCTATCTGCGATGTGCTGCATGGCGCGCATCTGGGCGATATCGCCTTGGGGAACCATGTTCAGGGGAGATGGTCCGGCGCCGGGCTCCTGCTTGATCTGGGGTTCCTGCTTGATCTGCGCGTTCCCGTTACCAGCGGCTCCGCCGGTGGGGAGAGGAAGGCCCTGAGGGGCGGACTGGGGGCTCGCGTTGGCTTGCGAGTAAGGTGCGGCGGGCTGCGGCGGGGGTGGCTGAAGATGATCCTGTGCTGCCTGAGGAGGGGGCGCCGAGGCAGAAGGGGCGGGAGGGGCTTCTGGCTTGGGATCCCAGGGGAAGGCGGCGACGTCGAGTTGCGTGAGCTTCTGCTGCCAGCCTTTCTTCAGTTCCTCCAGAACGCTTTCGTCTACGCCACCTTCCTCGAAGTCGACGCGCGAGGCATTGATGACATCTTCAATGACCTGCTGGTAGACAGAGCCCACGATGTGGTTCGACATGGTGAGCAATCGTATGGTTGAAAGTGGGAAAGGTACGTTCGTTCAGTTCCTTTTTCCTTCAGGATCTGAGCCCAAAATTTCCTCCAAATGCCCCGGTTATAGGCCGTGGAACCAGCGTCTCTACCCGAAAGCCCCTCTTCTTGAGCGTGAATGTCGGTAACGATCTCGGATCAATGGTTGGCGCTGACTGGTTTTGTGTGATTCAGGGATCGTCCGCGGTTGTTTCCCAAATCGTCCTGAAAAAGAGAAGGCAGATATTCGGGGGCGGGGGACAAGGTCAAGCAAGGAAGGAGGCAAGATCGCCGTCGGGTCGAAAACTAGCCCTGTGACTGATGGCTGATTGCTGCTGCCCGGGCGGATGGATCCAGAAAGGACAACCAAGAAAAGTCGAGACAAGAGAGCGTCGACGGTCGAAAACAAGGAAGAGTTTGGTCTCCAAGGTTAGTTGAGATGAGGTGGAAGGTTGGGTTGGGGTGGAAAGGCGAGAGGTGGTCAGGTTTTGGCTTTGTTGCGGCATTCAAGGCGGCGAACGAAGAGTGCTTGAAGGATGGACCCACCTGCGCCTTGCTGAATAATCAAGATCTTACCTTACCTCATCAAGAACAGCACCGTAGGAATACTGTACTGGATCAGAGGTAGTTCAGTACCTTGAATTACCTTACGTCAGACGTCCAGGGACCTCTACTCCGTCAGGTACAGTGTAGATCCCATATTTGTTGTCTTTGCTGACCTCCAGACAGTCTCATCATGCGATGTACGAAGAAGACGATCCGAGACAAGACAAAACCAACAAAATTCAACACGAAGAGGCCCGTCAAGAACTATTACAATGCCCTGTTTATTCATTCCGAATGCAATACATACCCCACTGGAGGAATCTCTGCCCAAAAGTAGGATGCTGTCGCTGTCCGGCCGACTTGACCGACAACGCAACCCAAGAACTGCGCACCCATCCGATACTCCTATCCCTATTTGTTCTTTCCCCGCTGTTTGACCTTGCGCGACAGGAAAGAAGAACGAAAACACCAATCGTGTACAGCTTGCCGTCATGAAAATAGTCGTGACAAAGCAGTGTCGTGCCCATCGTGGAGAAGCCCTTTCATACCACGTCGTGAGTTGGAAAGACAACAAACGCCTCCAACACCTTCGCTTGCTATGAATCTTTGCCGTTTACCTACACTTTGTCGGGGGGGTTGGATGGGCGGGTTGCAGGGGGGTGGGGGGAAGGAATCCAGTCAATTCTTTCCCTTCGCCGTCCCCCCCATTTGTTTCGACGACTGGACTGATTTGGTTTTGTTTACCGGATGGTCATCTGCTTAGCCATGCCAGCCTTGGCAGAAGAACCACTAGCGCCGACACCAGCACCAGCACCGGCGCCGGCCTTCTTCTCAAACACCTTCCAGAACTTGAGGCTCTCGTCGGCCGCGGCGGTGGCGAGCATCTGGCCGTCGGGGCTGAGGCAGCTGTGCAGCACGCGGCTCTCGTGCGCGGGGATCTCGACGTTGCGCACCAGCGTGGGGTAGCTCCAGATGCTGAGCGAGTTGTCCGGGAAGCCGCTCGAGCTGACAATCTCGCGGTAGTGCGGGCTCCACCGCAGGCTGGTGACCTGCGACCCCGTGTCGATGCTGTTGACGCGCGCCCCCGTGGTCGAGTTCCAGAAGTGGATGTGGCGGTCGTACGACCCGCCGCCCGTCGCCAGCAGGTTCATGTTCCACGGGCACCACGCCAGCGCCTTGACCGCCGCCTTGTGGTTCGTCTTGGTGAACTTGGGCACCGCCAGCGCCCGCGCGTCCCAGATCGACACCAGGTTGTCGTTGCCGCCCGTGGCGAGCTGCGCGCCGTCCGACCGCCACTCGAGCCCGCACACCTCCGACGTGTGCGAGACCAGCTCGGCCACCTTGTGCCCGGCGATGCGCACGTCGTGGTTGAACACGAGCCCGCTGCGCGCCCCCGTCGACAGGAGGTGCTTGCTCCACCCCATGACGCCGACGCGCGTGTCGTGGCCGAACATGCTGCGCACCTTCTGGCCCTCGGCCACGTCCCAGATCTGCACCTCGCCCGTGCCCAGACCCACGCCGACGTAGGCCCCGTCGCCCGACCACTTGACGCTGCTCACGTACGTGTCGGGGCTGGTCTCCAGGAGGCAGCTCACGCTCCCCTCGTCGGCGGACCAGACGTAGACGTTGCGCTCGAGGCCGATGGCGACCTGGTTGCCCGAGCTCCAGTCGAGGAGGTTGAGGTAGTAGTCGTCCACGAGGCCGGGCGCATCCAGGACGCGTTCGGGGGCGGTGGCAATGCGACGCCGGAACTGCGCCGAGGCAGCGCCGGCAGGCTTCAGGGGACGGTTGTACTGCTGGCGGAGATCGATGGGCTTGGACGACTCGGGGGGCGCCGGCTTGAACTGCAGGATGCGCGTGTTGAGGTTGACGCCGCAGGCGCTGGCCAGCGAGTCCTGGTACGCCTGCGTGTTGGGAGAAGGGCGGCAGTAGTTGGAAGACTCCTCCTCGTCGTCCTCGATGGTCAGGTTCTCGAGAGCCGCCATGGCGTCCTCGGCCGCGGAGGAGAGGGCGGTCGAACCCTGCGCGCTGCTGCTGATGCTGCTGCTGCTGCTGCTGCTGCTGGCCTGGGGGCGCTGCTGCTTGTCGGACTGGCCGATCTTGGCGCTGCCGGCGTTGGCGAGCGCCGAGCTGGCGCCGCGGTTGGGAATGAAACGGTCGCCGCCGTAGCTCAGCGTGGTCTTGGCCGTCTTCTGCCTCAGCGAGCCCTTCTTGGACTTGGCGCTGGAGGGGGTCTTGGTCTTGCCGGTTCCGGTCAGGGTGAAGTCAGATACGCCGAGCTCGAGGGCCCTGCGTGGTGTGGAGACGGTACGGGCGATGTTGGACTTGGGGGAATCGCGGTGCGAGGACTTGGGCTTGGTGGTCGACCGTGCCAGATGAGCAGCAAGGTTTCCTCCACATGTAGACTTGCCGGTTGCCCTATAGCCATCGTCGTGGCCGAGGCTTGGGCGCTCGGGGGTAAAGGGGGAGGAGTTGAGGTTCAACGGGATAGCGGTGGTTGTGCTCTGACGGGGAGACGGGGTCAAGGGCATCCGACCGCCAGCCGTACGGGAGGAAAAGAGCCCACGGTGGGACTTGAGAGGTGTTGATACAGCGGGGGTAGCCATTGCTGTCTTTTGGAATGTGAGGTGGGGTGAGTGTGGGTGGGGGTGGGGGAGGGTTGTTGATATGCAGAGAAAGAGCTCCGACTAGGTCGAACGAGCTCCAAGAGACTCTAGCTAAAGGTTCCTGGATAGTTGTTGTTTAGTTAGTATCTGCTGTGTCGTATTGTTGTTGATTGTTCGATGAATCGAAGGTTGCCTTCACAAAGATGGCAAGTCGGAGGGCGACCAGATGGCTGAGAACAGCGATAAGATCTAATGGACTCGGATGAATTTTGTGGAAGGCTTTTCAGAATAGTTTGGCAAAGCTTGGTAGCTGGAGCAAGGAGAGCGGAAGCAAAGGAAATATGATGGAGGGAGAGCGGGTAGAAGAGGGTTTGTTTGTTGTATGGGGGAGAGAGAGGAGGGAAAAGGTCGATGTAAGTTGATGGCACCTAATGGCCGTCTTTTATTTACTTTGTGCCCCACCATGGTGATGGCCGGGCAACCAGTACCCCAGCTCCGGTGTCACTGATTTTCCGACCGGGAATCCGCGCGGACCTGAAGTTGGCCAATCATGGTGCTTTGTTTCCGCCGTTCCTATTACTACGGGTCCACCTGCCAGTTACAAAGAAGTACAGTGGGGGACAGAATTTCGTACGGAGTACAGTACCGTCTAGGCCATGGCCCCAGGCTGCCACTATCCGAGGAGCAGCTGATCAACGCAGGGTCAACTGGGACTGGGACATCTGACACCTGCAATCTCCCGTGTCCTCGCCGAAATAAATAGAGCAATTACCCGTCGTCCCTCGCTTTGCATCGTTCTTCGTTCTCTTCAGCGAGAAGCTTTGTGGGGTCTATTGATTGTCTTGATTGTCATTAGCAGTAAACCAAGTGCAGAGGCACCTTTATTAGGCCTCTGCTTTTCGAAATTAATTACGAAGTAACCTAAGGTGGGTACCTTACCTGAGTACCAGTACCTTTGTAGGTAATTACCTTGCGGTGAACATGCTTATAAGAGGATTCTGCCTCGTTTCACCGCGTTCCTTATGTGATCGGCCATCCCGGCCCGTACCCCCATGTCCTGCTTCAGGGCGACATACGCTAAACCTAAAATGGACAAAGTAGCCTCCAGACAAACGGCCACTTGAGATTTGAGATCTTCAAGACTCGGCTCACCATCTGATACCGCCAAAGCCTCTTTGCACCGTCTTTCGTTTGGAAGAGAGCCAGACGACTTTCTTTTTTCCTCGTCTTCTTGATCATGGTAAATTGAGTACGGCTCGGAGCCTGTCTATTCCCCTAAACGGTCCCCGTTGAAATGATCGCTCCCGCACCTTGCTAGCCCTCACGATTCCCCTCGGATCGCTATGGCGACAATAACACCTTCTACACCGGCGAATGGGAGCAATTCGACATTATCAAGTACCTCGATCTTTGGTGGCGCCGCGCACGATTCCACTACATCGTCTACCAGGTCTTCTACAACCCAGCTCTCGGCCTCTTCCACCGCCATGCCCGGCTCTGCCGCCTCGAGCGACAACACTTACATCATGCCCAATTCGCCTATCAAGAACAGGAACTGTGTCGATGGATATCGTCCAAAGGTAACCAGGACGCTAGGCCAACGGCCCGCTTGCCTTGTCAATGCCTCGGTGACCTACTGCGGAAACAACCAGATCTATGCCTTTGGCGGCTTTGATCAGTATACGGATGAAGTCTATAACCATGTCCTAAGGCTCGACCTTGTTAGCCACCAATGGAGCTTGGTAGATAACTATGGAGACATTCCCGGTGTTCGAATGGGTGAGTTGTGCTCCACGGGGGCTCTCGGTTTCTCTGGGTGGCCATGTCGAATTTCTTTTTCCTGCTGACCTCCTCTCTCTCCGCAGGACACACGGCTACTCTCTATGGCGGCGACAAGCTTCTCGTCTTTGGCGGGGAGAACGAGCACCGAACCTACCTCTCCGACCTCATCATTTTCGACCTCAAGACGGCCCACTGGACCCAACCGCAAGTGTCGGGGCCCATCCCCAAGGGCCGCGCAAGGCACGCCGCCGTTTTACACGAGGACAAGCTCTTCATCGTCGGAGGGATAACGGGTCACGACAATTATGTGCTGGACGACATCTGCTACCTCGACCTGAAGACCTTCACTTGGTCCAGGTCTTGGCGCTTCGTTGGACGCTTCGACCACTCCGTTTACATCTGGGGCGATAGGGTCTGGGTGTTTGGAGGCATGGGGGAGGACATGGACAAGATTGGCGACCTGTGGTGGCTGGACATGAAGGGCAGCCCTGCGTTCGAGTCCCCGCCTCCCATCGGCGTCTATGACCGCTACGCGAGCGGCGGCCGTGCTGTCGACTCCCCACGCCCGCCCTACACCCTCGCGCAGCAGCCAGGGGTCGTGGGCACCTCGGGCTATGCCGCCAACTCGCGGACGCAGCAGGTCAACCCGCCCTCTTTTCAGATGAAGACCAACTCGCCCATGGCGCCGGGGACCATATCCTCCGTCAAGTTCGTGGGGGGTTCCAACATCCCGTCGCAGGGCTCCGGCATCCATTTCCACGTGTATTCCTCCGGCACGCTGCTCGACTTTGTCACCCCCGCAGCCACCATCACCACCAAGGACTGCTCGCTTTCGGCCCTCGATCTGTCCACGCTGCGGTGGCAGAAGCTCGCCGAAGGTCGAGAGATCTTCAAGTTGGGCTACCGCTGGCATTACTGTACCATGAACGAAGACGCCACCAAGGCCTGGCTTCTCGGCTGTCCGACCGACCCGGCCGCGACCGATCTCGGCCCGAATGGGTTTGAGTATCTCAGGTGCGTTCGACCAAAACTCCTCCATCGCTCGTTGAAAGTTTTTGTGAGTTCGGTTATGAAGGTTCTTGGGCTCTCTAGTCTAACCCTTTTTTTTCTTCTTTTTGGCTGTCAGTGATATCATGGAGATTGATCTCCGCCGATACGGCTTTCTCGGCAACAATCTTGCTACCGAGTCGCAGACGGAGGCGCGCCCGGCTAGAGCCGTCGACCAGCCATCCAAGGGACTGGGCGCAGATCTGGCCAAACTGTTCGACCAGCCGCCCGAAACAGGCAGCGGTACAGACTTTATCGTCACCGCGCTCGCGGGCGACTGGGAAGACGAAGACATGGGCAGGGGTGCCGGTGTAACCACGGGCCAGAACTGGCTAGCGCCCGACGCTCCCACATCGCCGCCGATTCACGTGCACAAGCTCATCCTCCAGGCCCGCTGGCCGCACTTTGCGCGCCTCTACCACGCGCAGATGGCCGAGTTCCACACCAAGAAGATGCACATCCCGGAGCCGTACTCGGTGGTCCGGGCGTTCCTGTACTACCTGTACACGGACAGCATCCACGGCACGTCGGTCGACAACAGCGACGCGACGACGGACCTGAGCGACGTGGCGGGGCTCCTCGTCATGTCCAACATCTACGGCATCCCGCACCTGCGGCTCCTCTGCGTGAACCGGCTCGCCAAGGAGCTCGACGTCGACAACGCCTGCGTCATCTGGCACTCGGCCGGCCTCGCCAACGAGGAGTGGCTCCGCAAGCGCACCGCGCAGTTCTGCCTCCTCCACTGGGGCCGCATCGTCCGCACCCAGGGCTTCCTGCGCCTCCCGCGCGCGGCCATCGTCGAGCTGTCGCAGGAGATCGACCCCGAAGGGCGCGTCGTCGGCGGGGACGAGCTCGAGTACGACGGGAGCCTCCACGGGTCGCGGTACGGCGATGCTTCGGATAGGAAACACAGCTTCAGTAGCCAGACGACCCAGATGCTCGAGGAGGACGCGGTGGAGGATGACGGTATGGAGATGAGCTGAGCGGCCCTCTCTGTGACTCGTGAGA